GGAACAGCGTCAAATGCCAAGTGTAAGAAAGAGTTGGTCGACGTGATTCTTTCATTCTTGCTCAAAGTATTGATTGATTTTTTTCGCGTTTTTCCTCAAATGGAAAGTCCTTGATTCCGTCGCGTTCCCTCGATTTTTAGTGAGGAAATATCGCAGCTTCTAACGCCGTCTAAATATAGCGAAACCTGCTCGTTTGGCTTCATAAAATGTATGCGAAATTAATTTTATTGGCAACTAGGCAGCTCAAGATTGGTATCTCGGTTTTGCACGCGAACGTCAAGGCGCGCGCTGTTATTTTGATCAAAAGTCACCCTCCGTTTAATGCCGTTAATAATGATATTTCCTTGCGTTTACTGCGTTTTCATTGAAAATTACGTGCCATTTTCGTAGTGAATAAAGCCGGAGTTCCCGCGAATGTCACTAAACAGGCACGTTTTTTACGCTTTTCCTCCTCAAAGCTCAAACTCCAAACGAAAATCGACTTTTGAAAAAAAAGACCGAACCGAAAGTAAGTTTTGCTTCCAATCGTTTATAAGCTGGGCAAAGTGCCAATCAGATCAATTTACTAGGGTTAAATGAGTCAAACAAGGTGCCAAATGCGTGTGTTGAAAAGAGAAGAAACACACCCAAAAGGCGACACAGAATATCCGTCTGTATTAATTCAAACAAAGAACGAGATGATTGTTTTCTTTGTTCGAAGGTAAAGCGCACTTTTCCGCGTTTCGGGTGTGTTTTCTCTCTTTTTAATGCACGCATTTATTGTCTCGCGTTATTCCACTCTATCTTAAAAAAATGTGCGCGTTTTTGTACAAACTTTGCTAATGTTATACATTTTGCTAGCTTAGTAAACGCTAAGTTCAAATTTGTTGTTTTCGCTCAAATGTGGCGACGCCTTTAAAAATTCATAACTTCTGAGTTACCGAGGGCAGCTACTTGAAATTTGCCCTGTGTTTAGCCGAGACCTGAGGCTAAATACTAAATATATGTACTTCTTCTCAAACGCGTTTTCCTCGTTAAAAGTTGCTCACTTTCGATCAATCTCATTAAGCCACAAAATTTCGTAGTATTTTCTCCCTTCTTAATACACGAATTTGCTGCTCATCCTTGTTTCACTCATTTATTAGGTGCATTAACCCCTAAAATAAAATTAAGCGGTTTCCCTGTTAGATCAAGCGAACAGTTCCACACGTTGCGGGTGCTTTCTCTCTTTTTAATGCACGCATTTATTGTTTCGCCTCATTCAACTCTTCCTCAAAAAAATGTGGGCATTTGTGTACAAACTTTGTTAATATTATACATTTTGCTAGCTTAGTAAACGTTAAGTTCAAATTTGCTGTTTTCACTCAAATGTGGCTACGCCTTTAAAAATTCATAACTTCTGCGTTCCGTAGGATAGCTATTTGAAATTTGCACTGCGTTTAGACGAGACCTGAGGCTAAATACACTGCAATTTTCACTAGAGCAGCAAAACAACTTGATGGTTTACAGCTTAGTAAATGCTGGACAAAATAAAGATTTACGCCTCAACGCGTTCTTTGCTTTAAAAAATCCGAAACTAAACTAGGTGGCGACCTGAAACTTTCACACGTTTTACAACCAATCAGTCTATACCTCTGCGAGTTTCATAATTTTTTTTAACCCTAATATTCCTAAACTTAGTAAATTCTCCTAAGCTTAAAATACTGATTTTCGCTCAACTGTGATTTATCTTTTAAAAATTCATTACATCACATTAGGACTGGTAGCAACTTGAAATTTGCAGACCTTCTTGAAAACATCTCACTCTAAAGGCTCTCAAATTTTAATTAAATTTTTGAGAAACTTTAATATTTTCCAGATTAATAAATATATGTACTTCTTCTCAAACGCGTTTTCCTCGTTAAAAGTTGCTCACTTTCGATCAATCTCATTAAGCCACAAAATTTCGTAGCATTTTCTCCCTTCTTAATACACGAATTTGCTGCTCATCCTTGTTYCACTCATTTATTARGTGCATTGACCCMRAAAATARAATTAAGCGGTTTCCCTGTTAGATCAAGCGAACACTTCCACACGTYGCGGGTGCTTTCTCTCWTTTWAATGCACGCATTTATSGTTTCGCCTTATTCAACTCTTCYTCAGAAAAATGTGGGCGTTTGTGTACAAACTTYRTTAATATTATAARTTTTKCTAGCTTAGTAAACRTTAAGTTYAAATTTGYTGTTWTYACTCAAATGTRGCKWCGCCTTTAAAAATTCATAACTTCTGMGTTCYSTAGRRTAGCTAYTTGAAATTTGCWCTGCGTTTAGRCGAGACCTGAGGCTAAATACACTGCAATTTTCACTAAAATAGCAAAGCAGCTTGATGTTCGAYAGCTAAGTAAATGCTGGATAACATAAAACTTTACACCCAAATGCGTTCTTTGTTTTAACAAATCGAACTCCGARCCTAAAATAGGTGGCAACTTGAAACTTTCACRCTTTTTASAAGAAATCAACAATTTGGCGATTTTCTTCAAAATTTTCCAAACCACGAATTTTTTAAAGCTTATTGAATTTTGCCCTCAAAACACGAATTTACATTCAAGTGACATTTTTCTTTAAAAATTCATAAATTTTCAACTACCACAGGGAACAACTTGATCCTTTTTGGGATTCTAGAGGACATTTGACTCTAGAGGTTCTGAAATTTCACCTCATTTTGTTCAAATCTCTTGGAAATTCTGAATTTTTTCGGCTTAGTGAATGTTGATCACAAATTGCTTAGTTTCACTCAACTCCGCTCTCCAATTCAAAAAGACGTAACTTTCTACCTGGTGCAGGAAGCAACTTGAAGTTGTCAGGCTTCTTAGAAAAGGCTTCACTCTTTAGATTCAGAAATTTTGATCACACGTCTCCCTAATTCTGATTTTTGCCAGTCAAGAAAAGTAGGTGTCTCTTCTCAATCTCGCTTCCTTCTTTAAAACTTTCTTTCTCCAATTTGAAGTCAATAACGCGCTACGCTGGCCATATTTCCTCTCTTGTTAGTACACGCGGTTGTCTGGCATTCTTCTTCCACTCATTTATTGGGCTGCACGTCAAACAGAGAACGCGCTATTCGGTTTCTCGGTCGTCCAAAGAAACACGTCTCCTTTTCTAACACGCGCTTTGATTGTTGCGCCTTATTCCACTGGTGCTTTTGGCTTGATTTGTTTCGGTGGAGAGTTTTCGATGCCAAAGAGATTATGTGGGGCAAGGTGGCAAAAGGATTTTATTGGCTCAATTAGGGAGAACGTGGCCTTGATTAAGTGTTGCGTTTAAGGTTGGTTGCGTGCCCCGTCTGACACCGTTATTATACACGACATTTGAAATTATTTTATCAGCAACCAAGATGCACGAGGACCCTTATTTCCTACTATTTATTAGCAATCACGTGCGTAAGCCTTTTCTTACCCCGTGCCAGCCTTCGTGATCGCATTAATTATGCGCGAACCACCCTTGCATGTCCGCCTCGTAATAGTTCCAACGCGACCAATTTAATGCTTCTGTATACTGTTGGTTTACTACCAAATCGTTAGGTCTGTGTAATGCAAGATAAATTAATTTTATTGCCAGCTAAGCAGTTCGAGATTGTTGTCTGGCGTTTACACGCAATGTCACATCGACTGGGCGCGCGACTATTATTTCCACAAAACTTCACCCCCATGGGATAATTTCCCTAATAATGATATTCCGCCAGGGTTCCATTTAGCAACACACCACTACGTTCTCGGATTACCAAATTAGCTCTTATTTAAACGTAAAAAGTACGTTGCAAGTCAGAGATTTTTCATTAAGGCTAATGTCCGTTTTTCGTGTCGATACTATAAGTCGCCAAACAACACTTTCAAATACTAAAATACTTGAAAATCAAAGCGAAATACAGACTTTTGTGACGCACTTTATCTATTGCAATTAATTTTGGAAGGATTTGCTCCTGAAGAGCGATTAAGCGCTAGAGTTAAACTATCGGAAGTATTAGTTAAGTAACCGAAAACTTGCTATTGTGAACCTCATTTTGGAGCCTCCAATTTGCTCAGCTCGGTAAAAAGTCTGATTGCTTTTCCACTGTCGAAAAGTTTTGTTAACTTTCCTTCGGTTGTAATTACTGTTTGATTAGTTGTCTTCGTTAAATAACCTTAGTGCACTAAAATATTAAATAGGGCAAAGCAGTCAAATTTTTGAAGAAACGCAAACTTTTCCATGATTTAGGTTTCATTAGACAACAACCAGCTTCGTCAGTTTAGAGCGTAGCTTGCATGGGTTTTCTCGCTCGCACCTATGTGAGTCTATGGGGGCGGCCTAATCGCCTGGGCGTGCTACGTTCGAACTTGCCACCTTTGCCGCTTAAAATAGCTTCCAATCTCCAACATAGGGCAAGTTTCTATTTGAGTTTTTCACACGTTTTAGACGAAAGTTTGCTCCAAAAACGCATATCAATTTGTTCAGTTTTTCAGAAAACACTATTTTCTTCCCGACAGCGCCTTTTTTTAATATTCTGACTTTTGAACTATAGGAAGCTTTGGCTTGCAATTTTCAGTCTATAGACGACCTTTGACTCTAACGATGCAGAATATGGAAATTATGGAATTGAAAAAGCTTCCAAATGAAAAGTTGCGATTGAATCAGCGACTGAAAATGCCACAAACTACGCGCAATTGCCAGTCGCTCACCCTATATATGGGGTGTCCGAATTGATTTAACAAAGTGATCCGCGTCCAAGTTAAACCTAACAACCAGCAATTGCACGCTACAGGAAATCAAGCTTCAATGTCTTTGTTTAATTCGCTTAAAACCGTATTAAATGTTTGAGTTTGCTTTAATCCTTTTCCTCGTCCTTCTTTTTATCCGATGATGTTTGATTGAAATTTCCATTGAAATAGTGAGTAACTTTCCAACCCTGTTTAGTAGCAATCTAGTGAACGATTGAGTAGATTAGAAGCAATTAAAATCCATCGCATCCTGAAAGCGGGCTAATGGAAAAGTAATAAAACGTTTAGCTACCTGCACTCGAACTTCCGGCAAATTGACTTTCATGGCCAGTTCTTCCCTGCTGTAAACATCGGGGTAGTGGCTTTTCTCGAAGGCGCGTTCCAGCTCGTGTAGCTGATAGGTCGTGAATGTTGTTCTGTTTCGTCGATGTTTCTTTTTGCAGCCGTCGCTCTCCGACAACCCCGAGTTATTGGCCGTGCCCTCGTCTTCGGATCCGCTTCCTCCAATCTTTCCGTATCGCAAATCCGACACCCCGTCATTCGAGTTGCAGCTTCCCTCGCCTGCGAATAAATATATTATCGATAAATATTCCCGGCTGGAAACCAACAGAAAAAAAAACAAACAAAATTGGGGGGCCTTTCCAATATTTTCAAGGGTTGGAAGGCTGTAAAGTGAAAATTCTCTACATGTTCAAGCCAAGGTGGGGTTTTCAAGCGATTTCTAACTAAGCTAATTGATGTTTTTAAGAGTGAAACTACCAATTCTCTATTTCCAGTTTGAACCTTGGCGGTCAGTTCATTTTTATAATTTGCTAACTATTGAATTATGCAGCAAATTGGAACTAAATGAAAATGCAGGTCCCACTTTCAAACCAGCTTGATGTTTGGCCAATTTCAATTAATTGATGGGAGATTTACACGATTAGAAATACAGCTCATTTTCAGTTTCAGTGATTTTCTAGTTAGGACTAATTTTCACAGAGGACTGATGGAAATGGCAGGTTCATAAATTTGAAATGACCATCATAAACTCACTCAATCTGCTAATGATGGGTTACCATTGAAGTTCCCAATTGCCCAACTTTACTTCGACGGAAAATCAACTATACTGACCAGACAAATAAGGGAATTGGACCTAGAATATCAAACTAAAGAAGCCGTCGATGGCGACAGAAAAAACAAACAAAATTTAAAAGTATTTCACGTTTTAGCTTCTAGCTTGGAAACTGTTAGGAAGTTGGAAAAATATCAATTAGGAAAATATAGCGCCAAGTTTTCTCTCTCGGCGAGATCTGAATGAACGCCCCAATATTTTTTTTCCGAGCGTTTCCAAGATACAATCAAAAATATGGAACGGTTAAGAGTTTCGCGGCCAGCCGTTTGAAATGTGCTGACATTTTCGCTTCTATCCTTAAAACCAGAAGCAATTTCAGTGTATAACCAAGCAGCAAAATATAGGGAATGTTTTGCTCTATCCCAAACCCCCTAATGATTACCAAAGCATTTTTCACCGTTTCGGAGATATAACCTCTTAAACATCAACATACGGAAAAAAATCACCTTTTTGCTTCCAGATTGAAACGCATAAGAAATTTTGAGTAAATGGTAAAATTTGTTTGCTAAATTATAGTGTTTGTTTCTGTCTATGAAAAAAGTCCTAACCAGTATTTCAAGATTTTTCACGGTTTCCGAGATATAACCTCTTTAACTTCAACAGAGGCAAAAAAACTAACATTCTGCTTCCCATTTTGAACTCATAAAGAGTTTAAGGTAAAGAACAAGTGGCAAAGTATATCTCGCAATGTTCTCTATTTTTTTCACTGTTTTCGAGATATCGTCTCTTAAAAGTCAGCACGTACCAAAATTTGCACTTTTTTGCTTCTGATTTCGAACCCATAAAATGTCTTCAATAAAGACCCACCTGGAAATACAGTGTTCAGTTTGCTCTATCGAAAAGCTCCAAATGACTATTGCGTTATTTTTCGCGGTTTTCGAGATATAATCGAAAATGTTCAACTATACGTTCCCCATCTATACGTCTATATTTTTGGAGGTTAGACATTTCATTTGTGTCTCGGGAAAAAGTGATGTCTTGAAGCGTGCTATAGAAAATGTTCTTAATGATCTTAATGGCCAAAAGGTCTTAATGGATATTTCGCAAATTTTCGTCGATTTCCAGATATAGTTGGCAATGTGCAGTAAATGTCCCAAAATGGGTATATCACTTTTAAGGTTAAAAATTCGGCGTGACCCCTGAAGAAGAAATGTTAGGCCTGGAAACACCCTTTTAAAATGTTCTTATGACTTGTTTGATAAATTTTACCGTTTTGGAGATACAATTGAAAATGTTCAGCAAATCACAACAAATGGCTCTAGCTCTTTAGTGGTTAGGAATTTCGCTAAATGTGTTAAGAAGAAACTCTAGGTCATGAAACGCTCTCTCAAAATGGTTCTTGGCAGTTATTCGATAATTTTCGTCGTTTCCCAGATATTCCCCGATTTCAGTTTTTACATTGCTATTATTAATGCTTTTTCCTCTTTACCGGCTAGGATTTTCTAGTCAAAAGTCATTAGTAAACGATAGTCCTTAAATGGATAAATCTCTAATGAAAATTAGACTTAAAAATGGACTGTAAAATTTTTGTTTTAAGACTGAACCGATTTCTCAAACAGTTTCCGATGTGTGAAGTTTAATACTTTTACCTATAAATTAGTTGGAAAGTGTGAACAACGAACGTGCTTGGATCGTCATTTTGTACGGTTCACGCAACGTTAAAAGAACGTCGGTAATTTACGTTAGATGAACTTTTTACCTAACTGACAACCAGGCGCTAAAAACATTTAGATGAATGCAGGCAAACATCATCCAGCTTTAAAGCCGGAAACAAACCGTTAAAATATTTTTTTTTGCCATTGATTGAAACTGATTGAAACACTTCACTATATACAGGGTGTAACATAGAAATGATCAATATGCGCTAAAATCCAGCTTCTATTGTTGCTTGGCAGGTGACAAAGCGATCTTAACATGGCTTTTAAATTTCTATTATTACAACCCTTGGCTAATTCGAATAACTGCTGTGTTTATCGTGCAGGTAATCTAGATTATATCACTCACTAAAGCCCTACACAACGCAGCCCATTAAGCTCAGCTTTGTTGTCTACCGATAGGTTCGATTCATATGCTGTCTACCGTAAGCCCTCGACTTAATACAGTTTTTCAATGTGTATAAGAAACGGTTACAATTTCCGATCAACATTGATGGTTTCTTTTGGATATAAAGAGCGGATTCCAGTTGTTTGCTGTGATTATCTAACACAAATTATACGGAGAAATATGTAGTTACATACGAGATAACGGGTGTCTATCTCTATGTGGATAGTCAAAATCCGACGGACGTTCGTCATTAAATTGAATCAGAAAATCGAAAATAAACGTGAAATATCCGAAAATTCTTATTCAAATCACCCGGTCATTGTGTAACGGTAACTGGCAAATGGATATTTAAGCACTAATTATGAATAAATGCCGCATGCGAAAATGCTATTAACAATTACCGACCTTATCAGAAATCTGCTTTGTTTATTATTAATGCCGAGCAATTAGGACTCACGAATATACGGAGTGAACCGATCAATATTTCTAATTTATTAAGCGTCCTGGTGGCTTTTTCAATATTTCAAGCGCTGAAATATATGCGTGTATGTAACAGGCAAATTTAATCACTTTTGAGTGTGTTGTTAAATACGATTGCCTTTGAATAACTACCGCTATTATGCAACTGGCTGTGTTTACACTCTTTCATTATTTTTATCGAGTTCTTCATGCTGATACCAGCCCATTCCGTGATGTGTTAATATCAGGCACCCTCGCCAGACGGGATTTGCCTGAAAACAACACTCGCGAATCTGTACAATAACAAATTGTGATTTTCGCCCATTTTAGAGCGTTGCTGGCAGGATTTTGGTGGTGCCGTTTCGCTTGCACCCACACCTAGCATTTTCCGAGTGGTGACAGCGAAAAACCTTTTCCATTTTGAGAATCAATTTTTATTAAATAAACCTGATTTTCGCAGTCCCGAACGTGGCTCGCATCGGTCATCTCACTCGCGCACATGGAAATCAAAGGGGGCGCACTATAACATGAGCGTTGCTACGTTCCAACTTGATACCTTTGCCGCTAAAAATATATCAGTTTTGAGCAAAGCAAAGTAAAAAAAATCGGTTTATTCCGATTTTCATTTGCATTCTCAAGCATTAGAGCAATGCCAGAAATGCAAAATCTCGTCAAAACTAGTAAAGATTTGCAGATTTTAGGTGATTTAGGCACAGGTTTGGTCCTGACGCTTCGCTAGCTCGCATCATTACAATCTTCAGAGTTGTGTCGCTCGTAGCTAAATCCGCAATTGTTCAAACGAACTACAGAGGAAATAACAATAGAACACAGGAAATGAATCGGACGATCAAAGTCAAACACAATTCAAATTCAGTTATAAACAGAGAAACAGTAAAGCACAAAATGCTTGCAAACATTATACGAACGTAAAATTAGGCCACTTTTGGCAGGTTTTACTTAACAAATTGCGTTTAACTCGAAAAATGCAACACTAGTTAAATATTCAAGCCAAACTCTAGCCTTGTGTAACTTTCATAGGAAAAAGAAAGTTATTTCAGATTATCAGCAAAAATTTATTATTCTTTTACGAACATCTCTTTATATAAACACTTGAGCTTCAACTAGAATGTACAGGGCATTTTCTGCAAAGTCATCAATTTAATTGAAAAGAAATTACTGGGTTCCAGTCAATTTTATTGTTTATCTTTTAAAATGTTACAAATACGTAAATGTATGGCTGTTTCAGGTAGAACAGCCATACATACAAACTGATGATGGTGGAGAAAAACACCGAAACGTATTTGTAACATTTTAAAAGATAAGCAATAAAATTGACTGGAACCCAGGAATTTCTTTTCAATTAAGTTGAAATACAGCCAGGAAAATATACACAATGAAAGTCATCAATGTTCAAACACTTGCACTTTCCAAGAAAACCCTCCATTAAACTATAAGGAGTTAGAAAACATCTGAACCGAAGGCACCAGGAAAAAATCCGTCGAAAAGGACAAATGAAACATACATGTGAACATTGCAAGTGCTGATAACAGCAGAATACTAGAACGAAAGCAAATTAAGATCTTCAAATCTGCTTGAACATTGCTGAATGCTTATTAGGATTGATTCCTTTTAAATCCTGATTCCTTTGTGAAAAGAAATGTGTATTAGACGGGTTTTCGGCCTGTTATCTCGATTGTTTCAACATTGTGTTTAGCTTCCTTTTATACGTTTCGTTCATATTTCCGAATGGATTTTTTGGGAGTTTTAAATACGAAATTTACTCTAAGTAAAGAGACTGTTTGTGCTCTTGTCTTATCCGAGGTTTTCCCTCGCGAACTTCCTACAAGTTAATGTTCTTCTTGTCCTACGTAACTTTTGAGCTTAAATCTTTGGCAACATTTCAGTAATATGAAAGATGCAATTGAAAGCAGGTWMWAAAGAAGTGAATAAAWTTWWAAKTCTACTAAAGGYAWTTTTWRAGTAMAGCAAWTTGGTYTTTTTTKAATGGACTGGACGGGAAAAAGGGACGCTTCCGGACGCTCAAGCTGGTGTAAAGAAGGTGAGGATTATGCGCACTCACTCACCTGCACTTTCATCGTTGTTGAGTGAACTTTTGTCCCGATGCGAATCGTCTTTGCGTGGAAGTCCTAGAATATTATCAATCGTATGTCGAGGCCCGGAATTGCTGGCCACTACCATTTTCAATGGTTTGATATCCAGACCGTAATTGAGCAGACTGGAAGTATCGTCACACCGATCTGAATCCATCGCCCGTTTTCAACTAACTAATCTCGTAGGGCTGCCTCTTTCCTAGTGATGGGCGTTATCGGGGGCGTGGCCAGGCACCCTCAGCCAATCGCGAGCTCGCTCTTTCCAACATGGACTCCAAAAACTAGGGAGATAGATGGTAATGAGAAATCAACGCAAGGACCCGCCAACTGTAATAAGCCTGACGTCGAAAATTTCACGGTGTAAAAAAGCTTCAAATTGGTGTCAACACTAAAGAAATTAGGCTGAATAAACTGCTATTGCTACCCACTTCTTTGATTAGGACTTGAATGGAATTAGAAAAATATTACGATTATTAAAGGAATATGGGCAGTAAATGAGGACCCAAAGCAGTTTAATTAACTTTCCAGCTATTGCAGCTGATTAACTATGGGCATACCGGCTGGACGGTTCTTGCCAGCGATTTAACTAATCTTCAGAAGAAAATCCAACTTAACACAACGTGCAAAAATGGGAAATTTCCTTCATTGATATTAGCAAAATCTTTGCAGGTTGAGAGCATATTGCATATTATTTAAACCGATATTTTTGAAAGAGCCAAGAAGTTGGAGAAACATGCGCTAAAAACTGGCACAAGGAACTTCTAAAAAACCACGCAATTTCCAAAACACTCAACTTTTTCCACGCATTTTACATGCGGTTTGAATGGGAAATGACCCCTTTAAAGAGCTTCAAACGGGAAATCTGTTCATATAATCTGACTTCTTAGTGTGAAAATTGGGTAATGTTTTGGGGATTTCAAGAGTTTGTAGAGTTTTAAGCAGCCGCTAAACAGCAAACCCTTTTTGTCATTTGTTTTGCCCGCTCTGGCACGGAAAACTAGGAAAACTTAAACTATATATCTACTAGCAGTTTTTTTTTAATTTAGGATCGTCGATTTTTGGAGCAAAAATTTGCAAATTAGTCTAATATTTGACCGTATATAACGTTTGACCGGCCGCGCAAAAGAGAATCGTTGAAAAACGTGGAGAAATCTTCAAAATATCACCATCCTTAGATTGCGCTGCTTCAAAACGCACTTTGATTGGGTTTTTCAATGAGAAAATCTACCCCTAAAGCAACCATTTGTGCAACCAATTAGACCTAAATCTTTTGAAATATATTGAACAAATTCTTGCTGTGGATATTGGAAGTTTGGATGCGAATTTAAGGGTGTTATGAAGGTTCGAAATGCCAATGTCCACAGGAGATTTTCTCCTGATCGAATGGATTAATTTTTCCCGGAACAAACCAATCAACTCTGGCATGTATTTTGCGCATTAAACCGGCTTCTAACAAAACACGTTTAAAAATCAATTTTCTATTTTTGCCCGCAAACTTCACCAGGTCCAAACCTCCAAACTTTCATTAATTTTTGAAAATGTATCCCCTATTTTCGGAGCAAAAATTCCAAATTTTACTAAATTGAGATTTTCACTAGCGTTTAAGCGGTGCTAAAACTATGAATAAAGTGGGAAATCTAGAAAATTAGGCTGTGGTGTTTGCAAACGTACTTTTTCTGGGATTTAAGCGAGAAACCCTCCCCTTAAAGGTGCAATTTCAGTCAATTGCAGCAATATTTTCAAATACATTGGACACATTCTTACTGTGAATATCTAAGGTTTTGATGCGAATTTAAAGGTTTTATGAAGGTTGAAACTTTAAACTCCGAAACAGCGCATAGAAATGTTTGTGTTTTCCCCTCATGTTTTAATTGACAATTTTTTACGGGTACACACCAACCCAATTTGGCTTGCATTTTACGTATTTTACGTACGTTTTTAATGTAATAGAAACAGTTCAAAATTAAATTTTCCGTGGTCAAATCTCGCGATATTCACTTTATTTTTTTCTCGTCTAAACAAATTATTCTGCAAAAAAATTGATTTGTATAAAATATCACCGATGTCAAAAGGTTTCACTTGGACATTTTTGAAAACTCCTCGCTTATAGGGTTTTCGAAAACAATCCAGAAACGTTGCTTGAAAAAGTCAAAAAATCTCCAAAACTGAATACGATGGACAAGGTATAAACAATCCAATGAATAGAAGAGCTCAAATCGCATTAAAAATGCAATACTCAATTTCTTTGTAGAATACGCGATAAGAGAGCTGTGGATGTTTTTCAATTTGCTGTCGAAATTTGGTAAAGTTTTTTTTAACTCGTCAATTTTAGGCAAAATTTACAATTTTCTATACATGTGAAATTTAAAATTTCTTTAAGAAAAGGGAAGAATTAGAGCTTAAAGGCGAAATTTTTCGAAGAATATGTGTGGTTTTAATGGAAATTCACGCGTTCCGGCTCCCATTTTCACTTTTCTGATAGCTCAATGGATGAATTTCTTCCGAAGCAAAGCAACCCACATTGGCGTGTATTTTGCCCGCATAGATCGAAATCCCGTAAGGTAAGGTAAGGGAAAAACTTGAAAATTTTACATTTCTAACTTTTGCCCACAGAATTTCGATCAATTTTCACATTTTAATTTTTCTCTCCCAAGCAAAGTCCTTCAGCGAAAAGCCTGGTACTTCATCAAAAGTCCGAACTCTGTAACCCTATCTAGTTATCGAGAAAAATACGCCGTTTTGATCAGAAACTAAAACTAAAAACTAAAAAGCAACTGCAATTTATTGAAAAAAAATGTGATAATAAGAGCAAACACTTCGATCATACAGACCGTTAATAGAAACCAATTGTGCAGTTTTGCAGCATGTCGAAAACTATGCAATTTACAAGTCCATTAACTGCCACAAAAAAAGACAAAACTGTACGGAAAACAGATCGGTTCGGACTGTTTCCAATCAATAGGATCCAATCAGAAAACATCTGTGCGGTTGGAATGTGTGCTTGAGCCAATGAAAGTAGGGGCTGACCTGTTGTTGGCAAAAACCTCTATCGAACGTGATTCAGCTGTAATTTGTGGTCTGTCAATATTACTTTAATTATTGCTTCACTGTCCTCTTAACGATCACTAATTAACAATTTTGACGGGAAGTTCAAGAGTGTTTCTCCATTCGGAGAACGCAACATTGATCATTTCTTGTCAGCCTTTTGCCTTTAGTTTTTCCTGGTTATACTTTAGCATTACTTAGGTTGGGTTCTTGCAGATGAAGAACGAACGCTCAAACAACTAACTAGAAATTAGGATATTTTTGTAAATTTTCTGATGCCAAAAACAGAAGGCAACATTTGCATTGTTGCTTTGTTCAGTTCAGTCTCGATTGCTTGATTTATTATTATTATTTATTTTTTTATAGCTGGTTTCATTATTTTTGCCAATCGAGGTCCTAGAAGCTTCGCTTGATCGGTGCTTCATCAACATTTCCCGACGGGGCTCAACAAAACAGCCTGGATTTAATTCTTCCTCAATTAATCCTGCTTAACCAAAGCTCCTGCGGTTTCCTTAAGGGTCTAAAGAACCTTTGCCTTTGGGCCCCAACAATCGTCCAGTGTTTCTTTGACTCTTCAATGCGAATTTGTATTGTCATGTTTAATCTGGTAGCAAATGGTCTAAACCGAACGATTTTAATACGGATTTTGGTCGAAAATTAATTTTGGTGCTTCGAAGCTTTCGTTCCAAAAGTCCGAAAAAATTGTCAAAAAGAATGAATCGATTATTCATATTTTTGAACTAATCCACGAATTATAGGTGAGTGAAAATGATGACTGAAGAAGCAATTTGGGTAAGAACCCGAAGACTTTTAGATTTGAATGCCGGATGGTTGATTTTTCTTGGGAATTCGGTCTGGGTAGTAAAGAAACTAAAAAGTTTTTCTTTTTCTTCACCACTGCCCAGACCGAATTCGCAAGAAAATTCAACCATCCGGCAATTATTCGATATCGGTCAAGAAACTGAACTTATTTTTAGATTTAAATGTCGTTGCTAAATGGAACCACCATTGGACGTTGACTGCATTCTACGAATGCTGCTTCATATAAGCAAATTCTGGCAAGCTCCTACAGTCTTCTACTTCGGTAATTTGTGACTTATCTAATCCGAATCGCTTCAGGTCTAACAGCTCCAGGTCTGGGTGTTTGCCGGCCATTGTGGAGCGTTCTTTATTTACTGTAAAGTACCGTGATACTTTTTGCTCAATCGAAAGCCGCCATACATATTTTTGGCTCCAGTTTCTCGCACATGAACCCCCCGTCGACTCATGGGTATTCTTTGTGGCAGAGGCGTCGAGTTGTTAATAATCTCCTCTACAGTAAATACGAACGCGAATGGAATAAATTAGACTTCGACAGTGGTGTAGATGTAGAAGGCGACACATTTAGGAAGTAGTTGTCCAAAAGCTCGGAAAAAGCCTTTGGGTTTTATCAGCCATGGGTTTGGGTTAACAGTATCTTCAAAACGGAGCCAAAGAAAGATGAAGAATTGCTGGTTTCACTGGAGGTGGCGAAAATATTACACAGCGAAATAGTAGAGGATGATTTTGATGTCAGCTTTGATCTGTAGTTAATGGGGAAGCTTCAAAGCAACAGGCCAGAAGATGAAGAACGCTGGTGAAAATCTGGGTGAAATTGCTCAATATTTGTATTGCAGCATCAATGAAAAGACAGGCAAGTTTGGCAGGAAATTCGAAAAATCTCCGCCAATGGTCAAACGTGTTTAGAAAGACATCATTAGTCGGATTAACTAGCTTTGTGGTTATTCGATGCTGTCACATACACAACGGTAAAAAAGGCATTGTTACCTACCCGGTAATAATGGTTTAAGAGGGATCGGTACAAGGCGTAAACAATCGGATCGAGTCGCTTGCCCTCCTCAGGGGGTCCATTTAAAATCCTCTCTCTTCAGTTGGGGACGTTTTCGCCACAGTTTTGTCGAGGAAGTATCTTTTTTTCCGACCACAATGATTCGAATTGTATCAAAACTTCGATCATGTGAGCAGGATTTCCTTCTACAATTCGCGTCTGATCCATTGTTGGATTTGATGGTTTTGATGATTCCATAGGGTTGGGAGGGAATGAAGCTGAGGCTTCTGGAAAATTGAAACGTCCAAACTTTTGGCTAAAACAACTCGATTTTTTTTATGACAAGAACCAATCATCAACACATCAGGACCCAAACCTGAAGATGTGCAGTTTACAC